TGCAACGTTTGATGAATTTCTATACAAAATTTTCTTTTTTAGTAACCTCTGAGTTATATTAAAGTTTTTCGAGATCCTGAATAGGCCTTATGGTTTGGATGCCAAATAACTTAGAGTCTGTCGATATAGCAAAAAACTTGACCCCATGAAAAACTGTCCAAGTTATGCCTACTTCTTGATTATCATGTCTCTTGAATTTCATCAACAACAACCTACATGAAAGTAAAAAAAGTTTACAGAATACCCTTCTAGTTTGAATGCCAAATAACTTAGAGAGTCTACACAAAAAGAAAAAGGTTTGAACCCAAGAAAAACATCCAAAAAATGCCTACTTCTCAGTGTTTCACATCTTCAAACTTCATCAACAACTGCTTTACTCCAAGGTAGAACTGAGAAGTATCTGTCTTGAATGTTCTTATATCCTTTTTCTGTAGTTCAGTTTTTGTTGTTGTTGTCTAGAAGATCATCAGAAAGAATTTCAAAACTTGTTGATTCTTAATATTTGCAATCAGATTTTGGTCTAAACAAACATTTAACTTTAACTAAGAATTTAGAAAATACTCAAAAATTAACTTATGGTTTAATATCATACATGGCTTTAAAACTTTTTAAGGGTTATTCGCATTCTAAAGAAACTGATATTTATGCTCTAGGGATGATTATGTGGAAAATTTCAGCTTGTGTACCACCATTTAATAATAAAAAAATGATACTTCTCTAATTTTAAGCATACAAAATAGAGATCTCCCAGAAACTATTAAAGGCACTCCAACTTGGTGGTTAAAATTAATGCAAAGATGTTGAAATGATGGCCCTAAGAAATGTTTAAGTGCTTCAGAAATTTTGGAAGTTGGTTGAAATCTGATGAAATTAGATCAACAAGTGAATCAAGAAAAAAGCATGGTGAGTATCCAAAATGTGATCTGACAAAGGAGCAATCTAATATTGCCCGTTCGAGCAAGATAATGAAAATTCAGATAATGAATATATTATTTATGAAAATTCAACATTTATGAATTCAGCAATATGATCACGGAAGTAAAATGTGATTTATTACACTTATGGCACTTCAAAAAGTAATGCTGAGAACCATTAAAAACGGCATTAAACATGCAAACGTTTATTAATATTAATTTAGTAAAAATTGTCAAACGTATATATAACATATATTTAGTATAATATTCAATATAAAAAAAAATTAATAGCGATAACTGCTTTTCAAATCACATCATGATGTCTATTATAAAATATATCAGCGATCATAGAAAGACATTCATATTTTATTAAAATTTATCGGGTTAATACTACTAAATAGAAAATGTAAAAAACCTTCGTATGGTGCTCCAAGTCACTTCTCATCAAAAATCATGTATTTTTTAAGAAATCTATAAAATCTTAAGTTTTAAATATTTTTTAAAAATATAACCGATAAAAACCATTGCTTTTCATTAGTTCTATCTGAATTATCGGTTAAAATTTTTAAAAAAAGTTTTAAAATTTAAAGTTATAAGTGTTTGAAGCTATATACTATGTTTTCAAATTTATATAAAAAAAATTTTTTGATTTTTTTTCATCCAACCAGAATTAGTATATAATGCATTCTGATTGGCTAAAAAGCATTTATATAGATGCGCATTTGATGTAAAGTGACTTGGAGCACCATATAAAGAAGCTTACAAAGCTTACAAACTAATGAATACACGTCAAAAACTTTATCACATCTATCTTAGAGAATAGATAAATACGCGTAAAGTGGAATATTTATTACTAATAACCCAAATTCATTAAAGAATCTACGCGATATAACCAAGCTTGAATCAACGGGTCCTCTAGTACTAAGAACTTGTACCTTTTAAATTAAACAGTTAGCAATAAAAATTAATTTAAATCTTATGAAATAAAGAAGTTTAGATTTGTCTTCTAAGCAAAGTCCGCGAGGAGTAGGATTCTTTTGAGATTCTTTTGTAATAATGTTCGTTCGAAGCTAAGAATGACTTTTACGGCGATTTTTTATTAGTGAACTTGTAAATAAAGTGTGTAAAAACACCAATTTAAGGTTAGAACATTAAAGGCTATAGCCATAGACTTTTGCTCATTATGTGTAAAATTTCGTCCCCGATATTTTTAATTATCAAGATCGATTTAAACACTAGTTCTGTAGTTTTTGAGTATTTTCTGTTCGCTTGATTGGCTGATCAGAAAGAACTCTGATTGGATAAAATTAAATATCTCGTTACACTTGATTTTCTTTATTTATTACCTAGTTCTTTTGTTTTAAAAATTTATACTGTAAATTCTCGAAATAACGCCCAGGGGTGAAATTACGAAATTTGGCCTAAATTAAGCTTAATTCGGGCCAAGACACAAAATAACGCTATTTACGGTAATAAATTGTCATGAGATCCTATAAGATCCCAAACGTTTATATAATATTACAAAATTTTAAATTGTATTAATTATGAAAAAAAATTTTATCTGTTTCGGGTCAACAATTCTATTATAAACAATATAAATAATTCATGTAACAAGGCTTTTTCAATAGAAAATAAAATGAATTTCAAGAATATAACTCAATTATACAAAAATATCGTTGTTGATGTTTAACATATTAATGCATCGAAAATAATGTTTCTAGAGTTTTATGTTTCACGTAAGTTTCACTGTCATAATACACACAACTTAATTTTGCTGACTAATTATATATCACTAACAATATTGGGAAATTGAAAAAAAAAACTGTATCAAAATTTCAATTAAACATATAGTTTGACAGTATGGAATATATATGTCTAATTGGTACTCAAAACTAATTTTTTTTAAAAGAAAAGAGAGACAATAAGAGCTAGAAATATCAAATCTGTTGTTCATTAATACGTATGCAATATAGATCAAAAATAAATAAAAATAAACCAAATAGAACAAAGCTTTATTTTATTGTTAAAGTTAGAAATTGGTGAAATACATACGTAGTTTATTTCATAATTTGGCAAAAGGTAATTTTCTTTAAAAACCTTTTTAGGCTATAAAGTTTGATCATACTACGTACGGTTACACATAATCGCCTGTAGTGTAAATTGGCATAAAATTTTTACAAAACTTAAATGCGAATTAAGAAGGTAATCGCTAACACAATAATGCATCGGAAATCTGCCGCACGGAAATCAAAAGATGAAAAAACTTTTTCTATAAGACGTAAATAAGTGATATCATAATAAGTCTGCACCTATAGTACGAAGGTTTAAAAGATAATATGTAAAGTTTGATTTTAAAAAATCATCAGTATCTGTAATCAAGAGTTGCATAAAATATCATTATCATCAAGAGTTGCATAAAATATCATTATCGTATAAGGGGGAAGATCTTTTCCCCAACAAAGATATTAATAAAAAAAAGCAAAGCAGTGTGCCGTTAGTATCAAATAGAGAAGTTATAACTTGATTTCAAGTGGGAATAGGTCCATTTGATAACCCTGAAAAGATTGAATTTTTTTTCTTATCTCACAAACCCCATGCTAAAATTAAAAAACGCAAAATACTGATAAACACCTACTGAACCTCTAAAAATTTTGATCGACGCCTTTCTGGAGCCAGAGAGTCAAGTCAACGACAATTACTAATGAAGCTATTACAAATTCAAGCTTGTGTAGAAGAACGGTCTCCACACATGATATTCAGCTTCAACGTCTATAATCAAATTAGCAAAGTAAACCATTCAAGAATAAAAAATTTGGAAGAATAGATTAGGACTGTAGGTTCATTTCCTCTGCCATCGAGAACATCGAGAATGAAGGAAAAAAAAAAACTATGAGCAAAATGCAATAATTTTATTACATAATTTTGGTGGACCCTACAGTATGACATACAAGATAAAGCTATGAATAATTTATTCAAAGTCTATAAATCAGACATTTCTTTAATTTGTAAGAATTCGAGATTAAATATCGTTTTAGAAAATATTATTATCATAAATAACGGTCTTATCGAAGCATCGAGATGGGAAATACAGGGAGTATTCCCGGGTCACTTAAAATACATGCTGAAAACAAAGGTCCTGCATTCTCAAAAGAGCAAAATGAGGAGATGTCGATACAAGTGAAAATGAAGTAACAATGACATTTCTCGTATTTATCGCCTATGTAATGCATGAGACAAACTCCAAAATAAAGCTTCGTCGTGCCATGTTACGCGATTCATAAACAATGTTATCTTATAAATGATTGCTACTGTATGTGAAAAGTGCTTATTGTCCGAGTTACAAACACGAAGTACGATCCATACGTAGTCTAGAACTGCCAGAGTCATGTGCACACAGTCACCATACAGTGTATTTTTTTTTGTCAGCACTTTTTACAAGGTTCGTGAACATGTGTGGTGTGATCACCATAAAAAGCTATATAGAAAACATTCTGTTACCCAAATGTAACACCAAGTTCGATTGAGACAATAATGGAACTCAAAACATATTCCTTCGCTATCTTACGCTTCAACAAGAGTTAACAATGGAGTTATCCTAATGAGTTCTTGCAGAACTTGTATGTTTCCTTATTTAAACATCATAAATGTGAGATTTAATAATGAATGCATAGGTTAATTATAGACGTTAGATTAGCATATATGCACTATGTTTCATGTATATTGTTATAACCATAACTTGATTGAAATTAGGATTGTTTAAATGAACAATGGAAATTCAGTAAATTGTCGATAAATTGTTGATGTAATTGCTTGTTAGCCGTAATTAAATCTCTTTATAAACCTTTCTTTTTCACTCTTAAGTAAATAGCTCTAATTCCACAACTGATTATTCTTTGCAAACCTTAATTCCATAACTGATTATTCTTTGCAACTTTTTATTTCTACATTCTTATCAATTTCTACATTCTTATTATTACGAGCGTTAAAGCTTATAACATTAAAATTTCTGAAAACTAAATGGCAATTTCAGCAACAAATATTGGTCCTCAAACACCATCTTCACCGAGACATTCTCGAGTGCCGACAATGACAATTGCATTATCAACTTCAGCACAGCAAAAATTGAATTTATTGTTACAACGCGAAAATGAATTTGATTTTTCAGATTCTAATTCTACGACGAACCAAACATCCATATCTCTCGAGGAAAATTCACTGAAATATCCTGCTTCTGCTCACATATCAACAACTTTAACATCATCGGTAGACCCTCCAACATATGATGAATATACAACAATTGACATGCCTCCAGCTTATACTGGACTCAAAATTACACCCGATTCACATTACGATACGCTTCCAACTGATATTGAGGCACCATGGCCCCTAACTAAAAAATTATATTTCATGGGTTTTTTATTTTGGCCTCTTTGGTTTGTTGGAATGGGATTTTCAGTGTTTGGGAAAAGTCCTTCAACCAGAAAATGGGGTCGTCATTGTGCATGCAATTCAGTTGTGGTATTAATCGTATTTGCTTATTTGGTTACTGCATATATCAGAACTAACGGCCGATTGGCTTAATTTTTTATGAACAATTAACAATTACTGAATTAACGGAAAACAAATTGCTATTGAACATTTCTTTCATCCAACAACTACACTGTAAATACAATCTTTGATATGATTGATGTATTTTTATTTCTATTTTCTTCCTTTGATAGGAATCAAGCATAGTACAATCATCGTCGAATTCTAACCAATACTTTCTTCATATATAATAATGAGAGTTTTTAATGCACATTAAGGTTAGGTAAAGAAACTAATCTTTTGTGGTTTTAGAGCTCGAAACATCAAAAGATGTGAATTTCTTTTTTTTTTCCTTAAAATGTTCATTATTATTATATATGAACAATTATTTTTCTAACTTTATTAAGTTAATATAACCTTTTCTTCTGAAGTATTCTTTGTTTATTATTTAATGTCCACTATCGAATGATTTTTATTTTAAGAAATACTCAGGTTTATTATTTATAATATCACCATGAAATTCAGTCATTGTTTTTTTTTTTTTTTTTTTTTAATAACATGAATTCTGAAGAAAGTTCATCAATTAAGCTATGTGTATACTATACAAGATGGCAAAAATAGTTAAATGAAATTAGTATATGATCTAAATAAACAACAAATTTTAAAAAATCAAAATCTGTTTACAAGTGCCCAAATTATGTACTTGATTTGATTATAATACAGAGATATTATTTATATACAGTATACTTTATATAATATCATATAAATTGAAACTAAATTCCATGAATAATTATTTTGTGAATTTGTTTTTACAAAATAAATACTCTTTAACATATACAAACAACTAAACATGCAAATTAAAAAATATTTATTTATTTAAACATGGATAAAAATTTTATTAGTCTATTTTATACATAATTATATAATTGTTAAAAGGTAAAAAAAAATCGGGGGTTTTTGCACAATTCGTAACGGAAAAATGGTATCTTTATATTACTTATTAAAATATGGTGAATTAGAATACATATAAGAATTAGAGAGGAACTTCATGTAATGAGGAGGTTTCTGACTTTGGTTGTCTTGGAATGATAAGAAAATTAGAATCTGTAGAATCTGTAGAATCATCACCATCTTTTGTCAAAATTATAGATATTACTTGAGGTGCAACTTCGTGAGAAGTTTGTGATTCCTCTTGATGTTCACCTTTATCATTTTCATTATCATTATCATTATCATTTTCATTTTCAAACTCTTGACTAGTGATATGAAAATTACTTTGAGGTAAAACAATTTGAAGTGGAATTCCTTGATCTGGTAAACCACTCTGTAATAAAAGTTGTGTTTGTTGTTGTGGAACATCTTGTTCTGACTCAGCAGATTGTTGAGCTTCTGATATAGTGATCACCTGAGGAGCAGGCAATTCATGTTGCTCTAATTCAGCCAACTTTTGCTCATATTTTTCTACATATGATTTAGGTGATTTGGGTGATTTTGGTGATTTTGGTGATTTGAGTGAAGGCAAGGAAGTTGGATCAACACCAGTTTTAAACCGTTCTCTTGATGCACGCAATGTGAAAATCATTATTATTGAACAAATTACAAACAAAATCCAACTTAAAACTACACTTGCTATCCAAGCGTGGCAAACTGGAGTCAGGTCTAAGTCAATATCATTTTCTATTTTACAGCTGAAAAGATCAAGTCCCCTATAAGCTGGACTAATATTTATTAAAGCTGTTCAAATATATATATATATATATTAAAATTAGTTAATGCATAAAACGAACATCGGTAGGGTAGTATCAGAAATTTAAGAACTTACCAACACTTAACCAGAAGGCGAATAAAAGACTATTTATGTGCATAGACGAATAAAAAAAAAATTGAAAAATTAACATTTTTATTCTTATTCTTATTAGGGCGGCAACAGATATTAACTAATAGCCATTTATTATCAATATTAATTATTTCAATCACTATTTCAAGATGGTACTATTAAATTATAGTGCCGAGCATGGGACTATATTTTAACAGTACCATGCCTGGCACCTGCAGAACCCTAGGTCACCTCAAATTTTTATCAAATTGAAGTTTATGCACTACCTCACATTTCCCTCACATATTAACTAATTTCCCTCACATATTAACTAATTTCCCTCACATATTAACTAATTTCCCTCACATATTAACTAATTTCCCTCACATA